GTACTTGATATTGAGACTCATTTGCTTTAATTTCACATAGCAGGACTATATCAAATTTTCCACAAGCTTTCTACAACTTCCCTTTTATGTTCAGAGTTCTCCCTCTTTAAATAAACAGCTGTGCTTTAGAGCAGTTACCTTCTTTTACCCTCAACAAAATGAATTTCCATTCCTTATAACTTCTCTTATTAAAACACACATCTTTTAGCATACAGAAATGTTTTCCTTATTTAAGTAGTTTTAATTAGAACCTAAAACCATTAGGAACCTTAAATTTCAGTGAACACTGAGAAGTAGGCTATTGTAAACTGTTACACTAGCATTCTTCAGATTGAAAAATTTATGAACACATTTTATAATTTCTGTAACCATGAGCTTTATTTGTAGCACAATCTCTCACTAAGCACAAAGTATGTCTACTTAACTTAGCAAAACTTTAAGGTTTTAGGTTACCACAAAGATTCTCAGGCTGTTTGTAGGTATATACACTGTAACACACTATAACACACAATTATTACTAAGATGTTCACTTGCTACACTTAGTTTACTCACTCCTAACAACTATGCTAGATTACTTACAAAATCTTTACTGAACATTAGACAAAGTCAAGCCTCTAAGTCTTTTATTTTTGAAATATTTAACAGACAACATCAACTTAAATGACTTAAGGTAAACTTAGGCAGCTGATAACCATAAGGACATGTCCATTTCAGTTCAACATAAATTAGCATTAATGCTTAATATCTTCTATTAGAATTTTCTGGAAGTTTTAGAATGCCCAATTTTTACAAGCTCTTGTCTTTAAATCAATTCTTATTAATACCATCCAGAGGTAGAAAAATATTTTTCATTTACACACTTAGACACACAAAAAGATTGAGACATAATTACTACAGTTAGCAACACTTTTCATAAAAGAACATATACACAGACAGATAACTGATACAGATTTGAATTGCTAATATTCAGTTGCCTTCTTTCTTTTTAGCTTATCTGATTAAAAGTATCTCAGTTTTCAAGAATGCATTCTAAGGGCAAGCAGTTTACATAACTAGGTTAAGGTTTAGATGGCTCCAGACTAACAGGGCCGATTAAAGCTCTGAACTGATAGGGACTGTGTGTGTGTCCAGGGGGCTGGAAATGAAATGCAAGTACAATTCTAGCTCTAGTCATTTAAAGCCAGGCTGTATTGCAGAAGATGCATTTCTTCCATTTCAGGGAGTCTAGTTTAAAAACCTCCCAATTTTTGAAGATAATGATGAACCCAATTAGTACAATAGATTTCCACCAAAATAATTTAGAAAGTAGTTCCATATTGTAGTCTACGGGATTTTTTACCATTTCCCTTCTTTGCATCAAAATATGTGTAGCTGCATAACCTTATTATATTTTATACTTCTCTCAGGGACCAAGCCTTTCTAATCAGAGAGTTTGTATTGAGGCCAGGCTTGTGTGCAGAAGATAAGGTACTTCTTTTTCAGTGGGTCTAGGGATCAAATTGCTCCCAGTTCTTTAGAATGCGTGCCAGAGGCCTGTTGGGCTTTAACCTTGAAGAGGAAGCTCCCATCTGGAAGAGAGAAAGACAGGTTTGTGACACCTGGTCAGCCTTTTCTCTGTGAGGGAGACACAGGGGAACCTGTTGCTTGAGACTTTGAGAATGGCAGCTGGGCTAGTCCCATTTAAGTGGCTGACAAGTGCCTGATGTTGTGTGCCATAGATGGCGTCCTTCTAGAAGGACAGTGAAAGCAAAAGGCAGGCTGAGATGCCAATACTCACCTCCAAAGTTATCCCGGACAAGCCCCCAAAGATGATGCCGGGGTTCTTGTTTTTGGAGTTGAAGAATGAATTCAGCAAACACCCAAGGTAGGAGAGCCAGGGCAGAGGCTTTTATTTAGAAATAAAGTGAGAGGAAAGAGCTCCTGGCTCATGCCGGGAAGGAACAAGAGAGCCCCTCAGTCAGTACTACTAATACTGTAATTTGTTCTTTTAATTTATATGTAAAAAAATCTATTGGGATCATTCTGAGAGTTCTCATGATAACTTTCACTTTCCATTAGGTGGATAGACATTTTTCATGCAGGCAATCCTTGTTTGCATGGTAAATGTGGTAAATGTGAGACTGTATAAATGACAGTGCAAGTTACAATTGTTCCAAGACTTTTTTTGTCAAAACATTAAAAACTCTCTTATTGTTGGTTACAAGTGAGAGGGAAATAATATAACTATTTCTTTCATACACTTCATACTGTAATTTAAAACATTAGAAACATTGACAATTAAAGTATTTCATTTCTTTGAAAAAAACTATCAGTGCTTGCTATCTTTTCATGATCATATAATTTACAAATACAGAAAGGATCTTTTCAGTGTTTTGGCAAATTATCACACTCCTGTATGTGTGTTAGCTTCCAAAGTTTTACCCTTTGCACTTTTAATATTGTGAAATATCTGAGTTCCTTTGATGCTCTGATTTTTGCCAGCATCATTTTCTCCTGGACATCTTCCATTCTGTCCCAATGTTTTTTATTACAGCAGCTATTTCTAGAGTCCATTTATATTAGGGTTAATATCATTTTCAGCATTATCCACCTTTTAGTTTTTTCTGTGCTTTCATTTTTTTTTCTTTTGCCAATTCCTTCTTATTATCCATTTTATAAAATATCACATGATTTTATCACTAGGAGATAAGGAGGCAACACAATCACATCTTTTGCCATCTGCGTGTGCATTGCGTAACAGATGTACCGTGATCAATCAGCCACAAACTTTGAAAGTGGTAATGTGATTGGTCACTTTAAGATACATGTCTTTTATTTATGTAGTGATTTGTCATCTGAAAAGCTAGCATTGAAGTTACTTTATACAATTACAGTTAATTAACATGGCAACTGGAAGTTGAACTCTGGTTTGGGGAAACTGGTGTTATTTAAACCATGGTAACTGAAACTGCATTTCAGAACTGCCTGTATTGAATTTCCTACCATGCTTACATTATTGCTTTCAGTAATATGGCGAGTCCGAGGAATTGGAAGCGCAATATGATTATAATTGATATAAGACTGGAGAGGTATACATAAGTTCTGCAGAGGACTTCGTAAATCATGTCAGGGTGTTTGGACATTTTCCTAACGGTAACTGGCAGCTGTTAAGGTCTTTAATGAAGGAAGAGACATGATCAGATATGTGTTATGGAAGTGTTCTGACTACAGTATTGTAGACAGATTTATAGATATGAGGGGGCTGCTGCAAAATAGTAGCTAAGAAATGAGAGACAGCAACGATGGAGGAAAATGGATAGTACTGAAGAAAATTATGGTGGTCTGGCTCGCCTGACTTAGCGTTGGACTCTTGTGATTTAAGAGAAGGGAAGAGTGAGGAAAGAATCAAGGATGACATTATATTTCTGGTTGAGGCAATAGCGTAGATGATGGCATTTAGTGGAAGAATTAGATTTGGAGGGAACACGACATGTTCAGTTTAGAACATGTGGTTAGTTGCCTGTAAGATGCCCAAATGAAATGGTTTGTAAAAGTTGGATACTTGGGTCTAGAACTCAAAAGGTAGAGTAAGGCTGGAGATACAGATCATAGAATCATCAATATGGAGATGTCAATTCAATCCATGAGAAAGGATGGGATTACTTATAGATTATGAATAGAGTTGAAAATCTCAAACTGAATCCCAGTAATTAAAGGTTCCCCGGAAGACAGATGTTTAAAGGGGAAAGTCATCTGTGACATCTTTTTTTCCTTTCTTACCCTTTTGCTGAGAGGTCAAGTAACAATGGAATTAAGAATCATCTGTTAGATTTAGTAATATGTTAGGTATTGGTCACTTTGGTGAGTGTGGTTACAGTGGCATGTTGGAGACAAAAATATGACTGAAATGGATTTGTTAGGGAGTAGAAAGATGATGAGGAAATGGAGACAGTTAAGTGTATCCTGCTTTTGAAAGTATATCCTTGAAAAAGAGTAGGGAAAGGAATATAATGGCAACTGGAAAAGGGAACTGAACTTAACATTTTTGATGAACACTTATGCAAATTTAAATGCTAATGGGAAGGAACTGACCGAGGGGGAGAGATTGAAAATGCAAGAAGGATAATGTAATCAGTGGCCTGGGGTCCCAGTGAAAATCTGAGGGATAACTTTGAATACAAAAGGCAGTGTCTCTACGCGTAAACAGGAAGGAATGAGGAAAGACTTTAATGGATCATTAAGTAGGGTTATATGTTTGCTGACTGGATGTTCTGGGAGTTATAACCTAATGGTTTCTATTGTCTTAAGGAAGTAGGAGGTGAAGTCTTTCTGGTATTGTTGGCAGAAAGAGGTTATAAGCACTTAGCATCTTATCTAGTGTCCATGAGTTAAGCCTCACTCACCACAATTGCTTCTCTATCTTTGGACTCCAATTTCTCTACACAGCTCCTAATTCTTTATAGTTCTTCTGACATGCACCCCGGGGTGATCCTTAATTTAATATCCTCGTGTAACATTCCAACCTCCTAGAAACATATTTTCCTTATCTTTAGGCTATAGTTACTCTTTAACGTCTTTCTCTGCAGCCAAGCAGAGATGTACATGGCCTTTGAAGAGGGAATCGTTTTCCCTAAAATACCTTATATGGTGTAATATGAGTCAGTAGTAATTGAGTGGGTGTATTTTCCAACATTTTTTATAGTAGATTTTCATGTTTGAAAACAATGATTAAAACAATAATATGGATTTTGAATTGTGACTAGAGCAAAGTGTTCATTGTGAGTGAAAAATGTTGCTCTTTTGGCAGATTATTCTGTTCGAATTTTCAGTGGAGATTTTAAAAAGGTCCAAATTTTTAATGTACATACATGTATTATACACACACATAAATATAAAACTTGGGGGGCTACATAATGTGTATAAACTTGTATAATTCTCTGAGTATACATGCTGTAACTAATAACTAACATCTGCTTATTTATGTTGTGCCTTTCTTCTAATAAATGTAATTTGTTTTCAAGCTTGTTCAGCGGGCGGTATACCTGGTTCCAAGAAGTGGTTCTTTGCAGTACAGGCAATATGTGGATTTTATCAGGTAATACAAATAAAAATATAGTCATTAGTTAATGTCTTTGTTAATATAAATAATTCCACAAACCCATTATTTAATGCAATCTTGATATATTAGTTTTGCAGTTCTGACTGGGAAGAGATTCATTTTGGTACAGAAAAAGGTGAAATTGAAGATGTTCTTCAAACAAATATCGAAGAATGTTTGAGTGCTGTTGAGTGTTTTGAAGAAGAAGATAGTAATAGCAGAGAATCATTATCCTTGGCTGAGTATGCTTATATGCTTTTTATAATGTCTTCAAAATATTTTATAGTAGACAGTATTTTAGCAGCTATAGTCAGGGAATTTTATTTAATTGAAATTTTCAACTCTTCATTTTGGAAGATAGGCAATTTGGACTTTTATTTGAATAAAATTCTTTAAATGTAAAGTTGGTGTCTGAAAACATTTAGCTTCTTAAGGTTGCAGAAATCATAAAAAGTGTTAGTTTAATTGATATGTCACCTTAAGATAAATTCTACCTGATAATATATTTTAAGAACCTGAATAAAAACTTGATTTAAGGTTAATAACTGGCTTCAAACCAAACTATCATTTTCATTTTACTATTTGAGGCTGAAATAGATGATTTCTTTAATTTGTGTTTATCTTTAGCATTTCAGGTGCCTTCAAAACCCATAAAGTTTTTGAGGAGTAAATAGATGATTGTATTCACTGTTGGGATTTTTGAATTCTGATACAATGTATAAGTTGATATAGGTGATATAAGTGTTGATAACTTTTTTTCTTTGTGAAATATCCCATCTCTGACTCATAATTAATACCTTTCATTTTAGTCTTCCATAATATTTCATGGCAAAAAACCACTTTATTTTAGTAGTCACATATTATTTCTATAAATTGCTGTAGGCTTTAAAAATTCCTCGTTTTTATTTTCAAATCATATTTTTTTGTACTGATAATGAAGAGAGACATTGTAGAACTATGGAAAGAGCATTGAACCAGGGGTCGTTGGAGTTACTCTCTAGTTATGTAAAATAGGCCAGTTACTTAACTCCTCTGGTCTTTTGTTTTCTCATCCGTATAGTTGTTGAGATCCTTTTAGATGATTTCTAAGGTGCCCTCCAGACTGAGAGCTCTTATCAATCCATATGTTTTCCCACTACTATTAAAAGAGTGTAAAAGTCAGTATTTCTAGTAAGTGGTCTAATAATTATTTCCACAAGAGGGAGCTTGAAAACTACTTTACCATAAGATGCCTTAAGTTATTTAGACAATGGAAGGTTTATAATGAAGAACTTAAGTACCTTTGTGGAACTATTTTGAGAAAAAAAATTCATTGTCTGGATAAAACTAATAGAGTTTTTTTTTAATCATTAATGTACAATTACTTGAACATTATGATTACTAGACTTCCCCTAATATCAAGACCCCCCC